TTTATCAGAGAGAAAATCAAACTTTTTACAATAAGTTGAATAATTGAAAAACAAAAATTGTTTATCTGAAGTGAAATTTATAGCAAAATTTTACTTAAAATACAACATCTACAAGGTCTTCAATAAGGACCTCTATTAGAAAAGAACCTGTGGTCTCCTCAACATTAACAAGCAAAATTAAAATGTCTTCAACATTTACTCTGTTCCTAGTATATTCACTTCTCTCAAAACTATCTCAACTGATCTTGGTTACTTAATGTCATGAATACAGTCCACCATTATAAAATAGTTCTTCAAGCATTTAATTTTTAGATAAAACTGATTTCCCTACAAGTAAAAGATAGGCAAATCCGCAAATAACAGCAAAGCCAACTGAAAAATGAAGGGAATGTTCTGCAGTTGATAAATTAACTTAGTATATTTAAGTGTAGTTCCCCGGTAGAACAGCAGTAAGTCTACAGACTTACAATGCTAAAATCCGGGGTTCAGTTCCTCGCAGTGGACACACAAGATAACCCACTTTGCTCTAAAACAAACAAACAAGCAAAATTTTAATTGTAAAATAATGAGTCTGGGCAAATTTTAATAGATGAACAAAATCTTTATTATGACAAATAAACAGGAAGCACACGTTCTTAAATCTAACCTAGGCACCGCATACACATAAGATATGTTGCAAGAAAATTGAATTTTCTCAAAGTTATCGAATAATTTGTAGTAATATCATTTAAGAATTAAAGTTTCATGCTATAATAACTATATAAAAATATGTGAATGCGAAACATTATATCTAGGTAAGACAAATTTCCCATTTTCTCACTAACTTTATATGCTGAAACGGACGTACAACTAAATATTTTTCAGGAGGCCCACAATGTTTCCGCGATGTTTCTGAGGAAACACGTCAATTTCTTTAATCTCCTTTTTATATCTCAGATTTCTAAAAGCAGATGAAAGTTTATTTACTAGCTTCTGAATTCTACCTCATTGTTACAATCATTTTAAGTAATAATGGACCAATTTTATTGAAACAAACTGCACAATGAGTTACTTGTTTTTCAAAAGGCTAGATTTGCGGTTTCTAGCTGTACAACTCCGCAGATATATCACTGTGCCACTGGGGGGGGGGGGGAGAAAGATTAATCAATAATGGTAAGCTAGCGTCACCTATTAGATTTAGGAGACACAAGACCTGTAGAGTACAAAATATAGAATATATTGCCGTTGTGTCTTGGTGTCGTTATAGAGAATGGTCACTGCTAAACGGTAAAGGACAACTGGCTCTATATAATTCAAAAATTGAAAGAGTGTATCAGCAGATGTGCCATCTTATCCTTCTACAAAGACAAGGAAAAGACCACTGAAGAGCAGTTTTCTATGTCTCAAGAGTACTTACGTGCAAAAACAGCGCTATACTCATATTGAAAAAGTACTTGCCACAACTTTATTATTCTAATGCTTTCTATGTTATTGTTACGTCTCCGTTCGTTAGTTAATTTTACGTAAAAATTCTTCCCGAAGAATTTTACCCATACAAGTCCTTTCTTAAATAAAACTGGTTTATTCTTTCTGAATACAACTTTGCGACACATTTAATTTCAACAGTCGCGCTATAACAAACGCTATAATTCATACCAAACGTCTCACGTGCTCAACAATATTCTCTCTCCGCAGTTCAATTACACATTACCTTACGTTGCTTCTTCTGTACTAATACAACGGGAGCTGACCAGGGACTATCTGATTTCTCGACTATCCCTTCCTTAATTAGACCATCCATGACCTTCTCTATCTCTTGTCGCTTTGCTGGAGCTATTCTCCTTGGAGGGATCTTTATTGGACGGTGATTGCCTGTGTTTATTCTGTATTCTACAAGGTTTGTGCAGCCGAGGTCATGATCTCCTTTCGAAAAGACGTCAGCATAATTTACCAAAAGTTATTTTACATGAAGAGCCTGTGATGATGCCAAATGAACTATGCTCTTCTTATAGAGGTCATT